ATTTAAATATTTCAAATTGTTTTTGTTTTCCTGTATATCAGCATCAACTTCGTTCCTGTTAGTCTTTGTAAAATGCTTAAACCGATAAAAGTCACTTGATTAACCCTATGATCATCCTCTAGGAAATGACATAATTTTTGGTGTGAAAACAGCAGCACAACAAACATGTAATTGATTTAAAGAATTCTGTGATGTCTTGAAGTTTAGTTGGTTTTTCTCCCTCTTGATAAAATTACAGAAGCACATATAATATAAACATTTTATGTAAGCAAACTATCTCAATCCCTCACAGAGCAATGGCTAACTTTAGCTCTTTATTTGCATCCTCTTAAGAATCCTGTCATAAGACACGAGTTGAAGTGTCTGATCTTGATCACAGCATATTTTTTGAAAGCCTGCAATTCTTTAGAAATACAAGAATATTCAATTTATAGCTACAATGGTGAAAGGTACTGCATAACTGGTCTCTGGAATGATGTTTAACCAGATCTGAACAATAAAAGACAATCAGATGAAAACTCTCATATTTTCTCATCATTCACATTTATGCTTTAATAACATAACATTAGTGAAGCAAAAAATATATAACTCAAAAATATATATATTATCATGTATGAGCAAAAATATACTTCTTTAAAAATATTCTTATTATTTTGATAATCAGATAAGATCCTTGTCACATCATCGGGGAGGATAGCAATCAATGCAATTAATAAACCCCAAAGTCTATTATCAGACAGAGGTCCACCACCAAAAACTGTTTTATGCACTTTAAATGGCCCGAGTCCAAATCAAAACCGTGGGAAAGTTCGGAATAGGCGTGTATATTTGCCATCTTTTTCATAACATCACTTCATTATTGCTAAATGTAGTTTCAGCGTAGCCATTTGCCTGTAAAAAATACATTTTGGGGTTTTATTTTTGCAAACATATTGACTGTATGATTCAGGATACTGAAAAGCAGAGTAGAGTGAGTCTTACCCTTAGTGACACCAAAGCAGCTCTCACAGTGAATGGCACGACGGTACACCCACAAACTGTCCCCTGCCTTCAGGAGTCCCAGAGAAGCATTACACACCCCACACTAAAAATGAAAGTAATAATAATAATAAAAATAAAATATACCTTTAAATTCTTTTTCTTGAATAAAACATGAATTCTTTTAAAATTGTTTTGTTTTTATTGAAATTATTGAAATAAAATATGAAAATCCTTATAGTTAAGTAACACTATAATAAGACGCATTTTAATACATTAATAACATCAACAAAAATCGTACCTATAAAATAAAATGTTCATATTTCATACTGCATTCATAGAGTTTTCATAAATTTTGATTTAATGAAAACAATAAAGTGTTACACATTTTAAAAAGGACTAACCTTGAAACAACTTGCATGACAGTTGATATTCATGTCATCCAGGATCATCTTTTCATCTGTGTACATGTTTTTATGGCAGACTGTGCAAATGTCCTTCCCACTTACTACCCTGCAACAAAGTCATATGCATTTCACATGTGCACTAAATATCACGCAGAATTAAATATGAACTTCTTTCCGCTTCCATACCTTTCCGGTGAAGTGTACACAGTCGTAGTGGTTTTTGATGCGAGCGTGTCAGACAGGTAATCAACAGGCCTGTGGACAAAATCACATGACGTAACTAAGTTTACAAACCAGGTCAAATGTAATGAGTAATGTAGTGTTTTACAGCTGTAAATGACAAGATATCTGAATGTGTCAATGTGGATGCTCAACCTGCTCTCTGTGTATGATGTTCTGCTGTAAGAAGGACTTGTGACTGAACTCCATTCATCTCTACATGCATTTAAAAAAGATAAAGCAGTGTAATAAACAACAGATAATGGATCAGGCAAATATGTTTGAATAAGAAATACCATCCTACCTCTCATTTGTAGAATACACGGTTCTGATGGATTTGGAGACCGATACATCCTCGCGA